ACAGCGGAGCGCTTCTGTGTACGTATGCTCACTATTGGCCAGCATTACACACACACACTCACATGATCAGCGTTGGCCAATAGTGAGCCTTCATTCTGATGTACAACCCAGAAGGCTGATGAAGAGCTGAATTATTTCGTTATTTTTGTTTGTTTTTCCGCACAGTTACATTGATCCCACTGCATAAGATGCGATTTACTTAACTATTATAAAAGTATAATTGATTTCAGCCGCGTTCTGAGTCTAACAGTGCCATTCGTTTTCATCCAAAGCCAAAGCAAGTGTTATGAGCTTGGAGACATGTGCACGCCACTGATGCAATATTATATCATATATCATACATCATATTTAATAATTCACAAATAACTCACTGTAAAAAATATTTTCAAGACTTGTTATCACAACATATTTTCTTTTGTCAAATCAACTTAAATAATTTATTTAGTTGAGATAACTTATTATTTTGAGTTTTTGATGGTTAAATTAATCTACTTCATTGTATTAACTCACTTTTTCCAGTTCAATGAACTTAAGATTTTAAGTCAACCAGGTTACTTACTTTTTTAAGTTAAACCAACAATATTTTTTACAGTGTATAATCACAACATTTTTTCTTTTGTCAAATCAACTTAAATAATTTATTTAGTTGAGATAACTTATTATTTTGAGTTTCTGATGGTTAAATTAATCTCAATCATTGTATAAACTCACATTTTCCAGTTCAATGAACTTAAGATTTTAAGGCAACCATGTTACTTACTCTTTTAAGATAAACCATCAGTTGTTTGCCAAGAGATAATCAGCCTTAGTTTTCAGATTAGACCAATTTATCAATAATATATGTGGATATGAAGAGTTCAGATGCAAAAGCCTCTAAGTGCCATTTGAAATTTTCTTCTAGAATGATCATTTTTATCAAGCTTGTATATTTAAGTTCAGTAATTTCACTTTAATGGCAATGATAATTACCTATTAATTGTTATTTAAGTGAAATTACTGAACTTAAATATACAAGTTTGATAAAAATCATCTTTAAAGAAGAAAATTTCAAATGGCATTTAGAGGCTTTTGCATCTGAACTCTTCATATATTTATATTTATCAATATAATATATGTATCTGACTTAGAAAAACAAGGTAAGATTAGTCGAAGCTTTATAAGCTCATTAATAAGGTCAGTTTCTCCGGCCTGTAGATGATTGCCACTTGATGTATGACACTGCAAACTTTTTGTTTTTGATTTTTTAGTTTCAATAAACTACTCCATTAAAATAGATATTTCTGACTTTTATTTAATATTTCAGGCTTTACATGGTTAAGATAAAAAGAAAGAAAGAAATAAACAATAAATGTAAATAAACATAACTAAATTGTGTGTGTGTGTGTGTGTGTGTGTGTGTTTGGGGTCTGGAAGCACATATTTACCCTCTTCACTAAGGCGTATATTCCTACATAAAGGCTCTCAGTTCAAAGACGCGCAGAAGAAAGGAGCAGAAGATGAAAAGAGGAGTGCGAGTCGACGGCTGAAACTCTTTTACTCAAACTCTCTCCATCTCTGAGCCAGAGCTAAATCAACAGCAGATCAGGCTCATCTCACAGCCTTTGATGTACACACACACACACACACACACACACACACTGACACTTACACACTCACTCAATCACTCACACTCACACTCAATCACTCACTCTCACACACACACACACACACCTCCCCCCACTGGCCACTTCCTCCTATCAGTGAAAGATTTTAATCCTGTGAAACATTTCCTGCTCTGACAAGAAATCAATCAGCGATCCATCAGCGTCACATGATGAAAAGCCCAGATCACACACACACTCCTGCGAACACACACACACACACACACACACACACACACACACAACAAAGACCCGAGAAAGAGAGAGAACGAGACCAACACCAGAGCTGAAGACGTGTGAAATGTGTGTCAGTGAAGCGAACACACACACACACACACACACACACACACACACTCAGAGATTCACTCAGCAGATCACAACATAAACTCATCAACTATTCGCATAATTACATATTAATGTTTAACCCAAGCTCGACACTATTCATACACACAATCTCTCACATAAACACACACACACACACACACTCGTAGTGGTCACAGCCTATTTTTAAGCTCAGAGGAAATGGTGAAAAGAGTTTTTTTAGGAACTGAGTGGTTTGGCTTTCCTGTGCGGTTTCAGATGTGTGTGTGTGTGTGTGTGTGTGTTTGTAGTTTCCTATATGACTCACAGGATTTCCATGCGTGTTGATACGTGTAAGGCCGTCCCGAGTGTGTGTGTGTGTGTGTGTGTGAGACGCTGAAAGAGGATCCGACTGTAAACACAGCCCCGAGGAAGCGAGCACAGCCCCGGGATACGAGTATTATTATTAACAATACAGATATCAAACCAATAAAGTCTTCCAATCTCCTCTGGAAGAAAGTCAACCTAAACCAGATCCAGATCCTATTACTTCCCAGTTCAGTTGCTTCAAATAATCGAGACACATTTACTGAAGCCAAATGACTGAAGATATGAACACACACACATCTATAATAATGAAGTGAGTTTGAGCTCGAAACAACTAAAACCTGCCAATGGGGTCAAAAAAACCACGAGTTTCCTTTTATAATCAATGTAGAACGGCTTTACATTCCCTTCAACAAAAGCCCTGTGTGTGTGTGTGTGTGTGTGTGTGTGTTTTACGGTGTCCCTGTGAAGCGATCAGAGGCAAATGGACCCTCACAGTTTTCTGAAGGTCCAGGAAACACACTCTAATCCACAAAGCAATTCACAACAACAAAAGGTGCATTCCTGCCGAGAAAACACACACACACACTTAACGACTCCATTTGGAGGAGTGTTTCGCTCTTATTGCCTTGATGTCTATTGCGCTGCTAACACTTTGTTGTTAACTCACACATAAATTCCACACACACACTATTGCAGGACCGTTAAGATTTGAGTCAGTTGTTGAGCACTAACACCTAAACACTCCTAAATCAAGATATCACGTCTTCAGTGCTGAATATCAAAATGAAGTGAGTTTGTGTTTAAAACAAGAACAAATATCTGCATATGGAGTCGGAAAAATAAACTCAATTCAAAGAGAAACGAGATTATTTTTCTGACTCATTAGCAGATATTTGTGCTTGTTTTAAATATAAATTTCCAGAGAATTTCAAGTTTCAATTTCAAGAAAAAAATGTCAAAACGCTCTAAAAACAGGCTTTTTCTATAGATATATAAATGCAAATAGTACAAATATTTTTTATGCAAAATATAATTTTGTTTAACGGTCAGATTATGGGTTTAAAGGGCCTGAGATTCACATGTTGATCTTTGATTGAAACGAGTTGAGAACAGCTGAGATCCGATCGACAAACGCCTCACAGCACAAACACACTTTATGAGCCTCACACAGGTGGCCAGGTGGACACACACACACACACACACTCTCCCCTACACTAAATCGACACTTAAACCTACTCATCACACACAACTTTCTGCATTTTTAAAAAACCTTTAACTGCTGTATTCTTATACCTAAAGGAAGGGTTTAGCAGATTTTGTGTTTTGTTCACTTCTGGGTACAAATGTGTCCCCAAAATACAGTTAAGTAGGCACACACACACACACACAAATCCTGAATAAGTGCAATGTTATTTCACCAAACTCTGACTCTCCAATGAAATGAGACACTACACCACAGCGTTTTGCATTAATTTGTATATTTTTTGCATTAAAGTTAACATGTTTCTCCATTCTCTCATGTTGCAGTAAGTGTTGATATTTTGTTATATTCAGACATGAGTAAATCTGTCCTTTGCAATAAATATCATAAAATAATAGAGCTTCACATAATAAATATTTTTTTACAACAACGAAAAAAGTTAAACAGTTTTGACATTTTCTTTTAAAAATAGCCGTAAATTCCTCTTACACACACACACACACAACTTTACATCGACAAACTGAGAACGAGCGAACGGACACCGCTTCGTAACATCCTGGCAAAAAGTCCTTCACAGGTTTGGTTTCCAAAGCACCATCACTAAACTATCTCCGCTGTGTGTGTGTTAGATAGTAGCTGTGTACAGTCGGGTAAGGCAAACGCTGGTTCAGAAAATAATCCTCCAGAAAACGCCACCGAAACAAGTGGTTTTCACATTCCTCTGCGAGGGGCGGAGCTTATATGTGCTCATTAACATAACCCCTCCTCCTTTCCTGCAGCAGCGATACAGCATCACCAGCTCATGAAACGATATCTCTCGATATACAGTCAAACCTAAATATATTCAGACACCTTTAGGGTTGGGTATCGAGAATCGAGTATCGATTGGAACCGAGACTAACTTTTCGTTTTTCCCAAAATCGTTCAAAAGTAAAAATTTCGATTCCTAGTTTCGATATATATTTACAGTCCGCCGAGCGGAAGAAGAAACCGCTGAACAACACCAACGAAGAAGCGTCTACCGGAAGTGTTGGCATAACCACGCGAGTCGAACATGAGTAGCTTACGTCGACGATCCAAAGTGTGGCTTCGCTTTTCTAAAAATAACGAAATCTCGGCAAAATGCAAAATTTGTGACAAAAGGAGTATTTTAACGGGAGAATTTCCTTCAGAAAGGATTATTTTTTTCAGAAAGGCCGTTGGTTAGCAAGGTTAGCTAAACGTTTTTGACCCTGCCTCTTAAAAGAATCGGAATCGAGAATCGTTAGGAACCGGAATCGAAACAAGGAATCGGAATCGAGAATCGTTAGGAACCGGAATCGAAACAAGGAATCGGAATCGAGAATCGTTAGGAACCGGAATCGAAACAAGGAATCGGAATCGAGAATCGTTAGGAACCGGAATGGAAACAAGGAATCGGAATCGAGAATCGTTAGGAACCGGAATCGAAACAAGGAATCGGAATCGAGAATCGTTAGGAACCGGAATCGAAACAAGGAATCGGAATCGAGAATCGTTAGGAACCGGAATCGAAACAAGGAATCGGAATCGGAATCGTTCAAATTCAAACGATACCCAACCCTAGACACCTTCAACATTTCTCACAGTTTATAGTTTAGAAAATTGGCATAAAATACGCCGTTCTCAGATCAGTGGATATTTGACTGGTTTTGTCCGTCCTTCGGTTGAATATCTGTTAAATTTAACTACACAATTAGATAATGCCAGTTTAGCTCAAGCAATGCTTCAAGTTGTTCAGTGTGTGTCTAAAAAGAGCATTAGCGATTACAGAATTCATTTTTATTTAAATTAGTCCACTGTATGAAGAATGTTTTGGGTGTAATATGTCACAGTTTACTTTATTTAAGTTAACTAAAGCGTCCTGATCACACTACACACTAAAAACTGGGTCAAATATGGACAAACCCAGCGATTTAACCCAACGTTTGCTCCATATCGGACCTAAAGTTGGGTTAAAACAACCCAATAATTATGTCTGAATAATTCTTTGGTTTGACTGCATGTGCTCATTAACATAACCCTCCCCCTTCTCTGTTTTCCACACCCCGCAGCAGCGATTCAGCTTCCCGGCTCATAGCGCGACTCTCGCGACACATCAGGACGGTTTTCCCGCCGTCTGGTTCCAGTTCTGCATCTTGCAGTAAACGGTGTTGGAGTTCTTGCATCGGCAGCCGGGCCGGTTCGCGCGGTCGTAGCACGAGCCGCACGCTCTCACGCAACCCTTAGCGGGAAGATAGCAGAGCAAACACGGGAAGAGCGCGGACATCAGGCCCATGCACAGGAACCGCGAGCAGCACTGCGGATTGGACAGCGAACACGGCCGGTCCGCGCACGGGTCGCCGACGTCGTCGTCGTTAGAACAGTGATAGAAGATCCCCTTCACCAAACACATGCACGTCCCGTACTCGACCGCGCTCTCGGCCGAACACACGCACTGGCCGTCGCACGCCAGCCGCGTCGGGAGCGTCCGCGGAGCCGTGCATTCGCCACACTTGCATTTTCCGCAATTCTCGCAGATGTACGAATGCAAATCGAGCTTTTCCGTCTGAGTCTGTTTGAGAGGAGGGAGAAACGGATGCAAGGACGATTTCGGCTGAGTCCGTACGGTTCTGTTCGACGCTAACAATCCCTGCTCCGACGACACGCTCCCGTTGCTCTCGTTACTCCCGGAGCTCGTGGACCTGCTGAGCGCCGGCGGACGACCCGATCCGTGCTCGTAGTTGTTGTTCAGGTTCACCAGGAGCACCTCGTGAGTCCTCTCGCGCTTGTCCGGGGTCCGCGGCCCCGGGGCCGGTCGGTGCGGGACGACCGGGCCCTCCGTGTACTCGTTACGTGAGCGGATGGCTTTGATCTGATCCAGGGACAGGACGGTCCCGGACGGGAGCTCCGGATGTCTGACGGTCCGACCGCGGCGATCCATGAGACACGATCAGCAACTCCAGACAACAGCACTGATGAGATGTTCATCGGAGACCCTGAGAGAGAGAGAGAGAGAGAGAGAGAGATATTAGAAGATAGCGCCTTGTTTACATGCAATCACATCATTAGCTCACGGCACAAGCTGATTGGCCTCTTGTAATCCTGCAGCCAATGAGATCGCTTGCTCAACTTTTAATTAGTCTGGTCCGACGTCCTCTGACCCCTCCCCCTCCCCAGCTCCACCTGCCTAAATCTGAGTGTGTGTTCGTCAGCAGATCTAGTCCACCGAGACCAAACACTTTAAAGTCCCCCTGTGGTGTAAATCCAGCGTTTAATGTTGTTTATGTGTCTTTTTAATCCGCTTAAACCGTGTGTAAGTTGATAAGTGGACAGCATTGCTGAGTATTTTGAAATCGCTGGTGTTTCTGACGTCACAAACCACCTTGTAACCAATCAGATCAACGTGTGATCGTCAACCAGTGGATCTCTGAGTGAGTGGGGGCGGGGCTCATTTGCATATTCATAGAACCGTGCATACTAAATGAGGCAAGGGTGTCAAGTTACATTCAAGATATTTTAAGGCATGACAATTTTTTTTTCAAGGAAAAAACTTTAAAATGTAATTTTGGTGATCAAAGATGACTTTTAAGAGATAAAATAGAGGGACTTTATTTGGTTTTTTTGTAAACCTATTTGTATAATGCATCATAAAAAAATAATGCACCTTCTTTACATCTCATGAATAATTACAACCACGTCGTTTAAAATGTGCATTAAAACACAACAAACAAGTAGTTTCTGATATTCTAATGCAAATTACTTTTGGTTGCAGTTATTTATGAAATAATGAATATGAAATGATAATCAGGAGCGTCCTAACATGCATGCTTTAAATGTTTCCACACATGACGAAACTTGGTTTATTTACTACCATATCAACACTAAACAACAGAGAAAGATGTAGCTGAACATTTATTAACTAGGCTATAGCAAAAGGACATGGCAAGTAAAAGTAAATCTCCTCCAATCAACAGTTTACAAACTTAACTTTACAAACTTAAACTTTTCTTTACTGAGAGAAAGACGAATAAAGACTGATGCTAATTATTATTATTCAAGAAATGTAAAGCTCGTTTGTTTCGCGTTTAGATCTGTTTGAAGAGTTTTGCGTTGTGTTCATAATAAATTAGTTTATTTTTATTTATTAAAAATCGCCATTATTTTATCTGAAAGAGCTAACAATTGTATTTTATTGACAAAATATTTTAGTTCGTCTTGTATATCAGTTCGAATAACATTTTGAGCTGTAATATGGTCATGTGTGGGGCATGTTGTCACATTTCGAGGTAAATAAAGAAAAATATCACTCTAATAACGTAGATATCGTTAAACTAGACGAGTAAAATAAATGTGGGGAAAATAGTGAATTTATACATACAAACTAAGTTGTGCCTTATTTTGCACTTTACACACAAAAGGGTATAGGGAATAAAACATTGTTTTACACCACTGCGAAAATCCCATTTATTTGTAAGAGTTTACTGGTAAAACTACTGAAGCGTGTGAGAAACACACACACACACACACTCAAGGCCCCCAAGCTTTTGTTTTTGACTTCCTTTGGGGGTTTCAAGCCTTAATTAGAGGGTCAAACCGCCTGGACACACAATTCACACCCTGATGCGCGTTCACGTGTGCAGATCTACAGACGTGCGTGTGTCTCGAGCTCTTTCACAGAGCCATTTAACCCGACAGAGAGAGAGAGAGAGAGAGAGAGAGAGAGAGAGAGAGAGAGAGAGAGTTGACTATTAACAAGACTTTGTACCGAGCTCAATAAGCACACAACTGAAGTAAGTACAACTACTTCCCGTGCTGATTTGCATGTGTATGGCTGGTTAACATTAAAATGCAGAGCCACACTGAGCAGGAAGACTTCAAATCAAACACACAGCTTCTCAAAGAGCTTTAATATGCAGGAGACTCGGAAACTCCGGCCTTTCAGAAACCGAGACACTTCATCACGCGTTTACACTTCTCCGTTATTATCCGATGCGCTTAATAACAATACACATTTATTAGGCCACATATATTTTTTTATCCCTATCGTACGTTTAACATAACCGTGCATTTTTAATTAGTTAATTAAAAATACAGAATTGTTTTTTTTTTTTTTTTTTTTTTTACAAAAGAAAAATGACTTGACTAAGAAAAATAGGCTAACTTATGAATGAAAACAAGCCCGCTGGGGGAGGAGTGTGTGTGTGTGTGTGTGTGTTTGAGCATGAACGCACGACACACACACACACACACACACATACATTCATACACAGGCTGAAGTGGATAATATAATTAAACAGAAGTTTTGAGTAGCCTAATACACGCGTGTGTTTTTGCGGTCGGGGGCCTGTGGAGAGCAAGAGCCACAGATTCACACACACTCTCCATCTAGTCCACATTAAACAACAGCGATGCATGTGTGCGAAATGATACATACCCACAGACAGACTCCCATAATGTCAAATCCATCAGTCCTGGTGCCAAACATCCATCAACATGTCCAAAACGATCCACAAAGATCAGCGCGTAAAGCGCATGCCCGCGAGCGTAAGATCCCGAGGAAACTCTTCACATCGGGATTATGTTCTGAATATGATCAGGTTTTGATCCACGGAGAAACAGCGGAAAGATTCCCGTTAAATCCACGAATAAATGCGCGTTCGCAGCTCCTTTAGCGCAATGCGCGTCCGTCGGGCAATCCGCGCGCCAGACTCTGCGTGAGTGTGTCGGATCAGATGCGTGTGCTGTTTTTGCGCACACACTCACACTCACACACACTGATGAATGAAAGAGGATCATGGGGCAGATGCAGGAGGGGCAAGAGACCTCTGGATTTAAGGTGGATCGTGTGAAAGAAACGCGCATCTGCTTCTGAGCGTCACGCACACACATTGCGCGCTCTCGATACTGAGTGCACAGATTTATTGTGAATTAAAATTTAATACTAGCTATACATTTGTTAATATGTGCGTATAACGCATAAGCCGAGGTTTGTTTCTGTAACACATTTACACTTGTGTTGTTTCGTGTGATTCGGGAATGCTTGAAAACCATATTTTAAAATCTTTCAGATAATGTTGATGATATAAATTAAATCTCCTCAAGAGTTTTATACGCGTTTTGCTGAAGCCGATTGTGCAGTGAAACAACTCGAAAACATACGAGCACTGCTGGTGCGACCTTAAGAACTCAAACCCCCTCAGTGTGTGTGTGTGTGTGTGTGTGTGTGTGGGGCGGATGTGCTGCATCCGGATACATGAGAAAGGAAAGTTCAGCACAAAGTCATTTCATGCATTCAGATGGAAACGAGCCGCGCGCGCGCGCGCACACACACACACACACACACACACACACACACACAAACGCGCGCGCACACACATTTCAGCATTTACTAATACACTATTAAAATCAAAAGATCATCCGTGTATATTTTAGTTAACAGATATAAGCTGACATTAACTTTGAACAGCTGTATTTTTATTAACAACGATAACTGAATATTAACACAGTAAATACTGTAATAAATGTATTGTTCATGGTTAGCTAATGCATTAACTAATGGAACATTATTGTCCAGTGTTACTGATGATATATTTGGAGAAAGATTTTTAGACAGAAATTAATTTTATTCATGAAGGACGTATTGAATCAATCAAAAGTGCCAGTAAAGACATTTTTAATGTTACAAAAGATTATATTTCAAATAAATGCTGATCTTTTGAACTTTCTATTCATCAAATAGTACTGAAAAATAAAATGTATGTTTTCACAAAAAATGCTTTCAACACTGATAATAATCATAACTGTGTGTTGATCATCAGATATTAGAGTGATTTGTGAAGGATCATGTGACACTGAAGACTGGAGTAATGATGATAAATTCAGGAATAAATTACACTTGACTGTATATTCACATAGAAACTGTAGTTTTAAATCATAATAATATTTCACAAATTTTTGCTGTATTTTTGATCAAATAAATGAACTGTGGTTATTGAATTAGCTTTTATTTTTTATAACCCCAGTGTTCATTTTAATTTCTTTTGAAGTTTAGTAATTTTGAGCTCAATATTTTCACTTCATTTGAATGCAGAAGGCGTGTTTAATGGTTTTAGTTAACAATAACAACAACTGTGCAGCTTCATAAAAATGTTTTTGATGCTTAAAAAAAAATAAATAAAAAGCTGATTTAATGAAACATTGAGAGCCGTGTTCATTCCAGGTCCTTCAGATCACCGATTTGGGTTACGATATCTTCTCAAAAATATTGTTGCTTTTCTACAGAATTAAAAAAATGTGTTCTTCTGTGACTTTAAAGCATCTTTATCACGACAGAAATCATCTTTGATGTGTTTTAAGAGTCAGAAGTCACCAGCGTCATGTGTTCTAGAGGTGGTTTATTGTGTGTGTGTTCAGACTCGCGCTCCGCCGTGTTCCCGCTGGTATTTCTCGTAGGCCTGTAACAGAGACTGTGGGATTCGAGGTGTGACGGCGTCCAGCGCGGCGAGGAAGTGTGTGTGGGTCACGTGTTCGGCTGCGATGTTCTCCTGCAGTGCCTGTAGAGCCGCTTCTCTGCACACCGCTGTGATCTGACACACACACACACACACACACAGTTGATGAAACTACAACAAATATTTTTGCATTCCTATTTTTCTGCAATATCAGAAGAAAAACACTCTACATTATTCATCTGTTCGCTTGAACTAATACAACTACTGCAAGTTTATTCACGATTATCCAATATATGCTAAAGTATCAAATCGATTAATCGCATCTAATGTACAAGTTTGTGTTTGTGACGATTCATGTTGAAAAATCATCAGATCTATCAGTACTCAGCCTCTCTGTACTCAGTCGAGCTCTCTCTCCACTAAATGCGATAAACCTCCAGCTTTGTGTTCTTCCAGTGACGCTCCATCTGTGATCTGGAAGCGTGACGGAGCAACTGTGTCTAAAGTGTGGAAAACAGACAGAAGTTTCTGTTGCAATATCGAGTTCTTCAAGCTATCCGGGATACTGAGATGATGATGAAACTGATCATGCATTCCTGTATGATTTCTTTATGATTTTGTAAGATTCTGTATGATTTATTTAGGATTCTGTATGGTTTCTGTCTATAATTCTGTATGATTTATTTGATTCCTGTAAGATATATTTATGATTCTGTATGATTCCTGTATATGATTTCTTTATGATTCTGTAAGATTATGTATGGTTCCTGTATGATTCCTGTATATGATTTATGTTTGTGTGATTCTGTAAGATTATGTATGATTCCTGTATGATTCCTGTAAGATTCTGTACGATTTATTTAGGATTCTGTATGATTCCCAGTGGTGTAGTCTACGTGATACGCAGGTATACGCCGTATACCCACTAGAAAATGTCAAGGATTTGCGTATACCCACTAGGAAATGTCAAAGATCTCCGTATGCCCACTTTAAAAAGCGTGAGGATTCGTAACAACATCGTTTTGTGAAATACATTTCCAACGACATCAGCACCCCTAAACGTAGGCGACAGAATTCCGTGTTCCCTAAGTAAGTTCAGATTCAGCGCGCGAGCAGAGAGCACGTCAAAAACAGAGGACAGGGTGTGTGTGTGTGTGTTCGTGTTCATCTGAGCCTCATTGGTCTGTCACTGCTCGTCAATGTCAGAATATTTGAGATGACAAATCAAATCAAAGTAGGCGGGCTTTAAATTCACAGACGCTGAGCGCGAATTTCAGCAGAGTGACTCGACGCTTCAGTTTACGGGCAAGTGCAAGATAAGATGTAAGTGGCTAAACTTCATATTTTACATTTTTTAGGTCATGAATGTTAAACGAATGACAAAAAAAATAACCAGGCAAACTAATATAGTTTTGTCTAATTTCGCCATTTTGAAACTGAAATAAATAGGCCTGTAACGTGACTCATGCAATTTAATAGTTTACTGTCATTTGCGAGGGACAAGAAACATTAACAAAGCCGTTTTCATCATTTTAGCCACAAGAGTAATAACGAATGTGTACATATTGAGAATATAATAAAAATTGTAGCCTTTAGTACATTAAAAAAGCTCATCGGGGAAGATCTACTGCCCACTGACATGGTTTTAAAGCTATTTCTTATTCTTTTTTGGTCTTCAAACGTCTTGAAATGCACATCAGAGAAATTTTAAAAAAAAATGAAGCCCAACCCTCAAATTTAGGACCTCTTTGATTATAAAGCCCTATATGGCCCTGTAAGATCAATGTGTAGCCTATATGTTTTGAATGCATTTAATAAACTTAATTTACCTAGCTTAGTAGCTTTCAGTGAATAAACGTGTCAAAGAAAAATTATTCATAGGGAAAATCCACCTATCAGTTGACCCATGTTTACTGTCTTCACTGACTGATAAAAATGAAAAGCCTATCAGTCAAAGCTCATCTTTAGGAGAGGAAGAGACAGGGCAAGATAAAAACAAAGAGAAAAGAGGGTGATGCTGATGAGGAGAGAGAAATAATCAGCTGCCCACTGACATGGTTTTAAAGCTGTTATCTATTATTATTATTTATTTTTTATTTTTTGGCCTTCAAAACATCCTAAAATGCACATATGTAGATCAGAGAAAATACAAATTTTCTCAGGGAAACCCTGAATCCCCATGACTAACCTACCTCACATTTGGGAAACAGTGATTATAAACCCTGCCTTTGCATGTAATGAAACTGGTTAATAGTGAGCATTAGATCCTAAACTAAAGTGTTACCTTTTTTTTAGAACAAATCCTAAGTAATGATCAAATCCTATGACGCCCCTGCTTCATGCAACTTGTCAAAATCAACGTTTTGTATCACTTGAAGAAAATATAAAAGAAATATATTACTATTGCACAGTAGAGTATAGGCCTATTTCAAAGAAGGCCTAATAATACTAATAATAGTTTATTAAAACACACCGAAGCTCAAATTTACAACAGTTTATAGAGATAAATAAAGTAACTCGATGGAATTATGAAAGAAATTGCATAGTAAAATGTAATTTTTAAAATAATAATCAAATCTATTAAAACAGAATTCTAAAGGAATATCACACAAGTTTTGAAAATTTTTCGCAAATGGGTGGTAGTGGCAACGGGGGGGGGGGGGGGGGGGGGGGTATGCTGGTATATCACAGTATACTCACTACAAAAAAGTAGACTACACCACTGATGATTCCTGTATATGATTTATGATTCTGTATGATTCTGTAAGATTATGTACGGTTTATTTAGGATTATGTATGATTCTGTATGATTCCTCTATATGATTTATGATTCTGTATGATTCTGTAAGATTATGTATGGTTTATTTAGGATTTCTGTTGATTCCTGTATGATTCTTTATGATTCTGTAATATTTATTTAGGATTCTTTATGATTTCTTTACGATTCCTGTATGATTTTTGTATGATTCCTGTATATGATTTATAATTGTTTATGATTCTGTAAGATTATGTATGATTCCTGTAAGATTCTGTACGATTTATTTAGGATTCTGTATGGTTTCTGTAAGATGTCTTTATAATTCTGTATGATTTATTTGATTCCTGTAAGATATATTATGATTCTGTATGATTCCTGTATATGATTTCTTTATGATTCTGTAAAGATTATGTATGGTTCCTGTATGATTCCTGTATATGATTTATTGGTGTGATTCTGTAAGATTATGCATGATTCCTGTATGATTCCTGTAAGATTCTGTACGATTTATTTAGGATTATGTATGATCTGTATGATTCCTGTATATGATTTAT